ATAAAGACGAAACAGACGTCGTCCAGTGCTCCCTAATTTCTAATAGTGGTCTAACATTGATCGATTCATGATTTCATCGTAAACTGCTTTGATTTGTTTGAAATGTTCATACGAACATTCATGTATATTAAAGTAAAGCTCAATGATACCCTAATTGTTCGTTTATGTCAGAGTTGTTGAATAAAAAAATTGTCAACAATATAAATGTCGGTATTAAAGTACAACTCTACTGTAATAGCTCTACTAACTAATTAACTAACCTCAGGTTCCCCATCTTCAAGTCCATTATGATTTGCAATGACCGAATTACGATTTGATCTTTGTTTCACATGTTGTATCATTGTATTGTTATTACTATTACTATTATTACTACTATTACCAATACTGTTACTACTACGATTCATAGAATTTTGTTGATCTTCTACAACAGATCCATTCAGGTGCAGGTCAACATTTCGTCCATTCCGATTCGAATTAAGCAATGGTCGTCGACGTCTAGGTGATGTTATTGAATGCGAACCAGTTGTACTGGATGAATTACGTTTCGATTTAGGTGTTGTATGAGTATGATGCACAGGATGATTACTACTATTGTACACTGATTTATTCCTTGAATGATCATCTCCATTGACTGGAAGAAATTTCTGAGCTACACAAAAGTATAAAAGACAGTACGCAGAAAACAAACAAACAAGAAATAATCGATACAATCAATATGTTTCGAAGAAAACTCTAATACTACTTGACAAAAGTTTAATATTCTATTTGTTAGTAACACTTGAGCATTGTTTGAAAGTCGTCAAAAGACGTATACATATATATGATCAGCGTTTAAGAGAAATCTCTTCCGAGTTGTTGAACAACAGAGAACCAGGTGTAATTAATTATCTATTTCGAAACTAATTCTAATAGATATTCCAAAGTCTTCAAAATATCAAGATCCTTGTTTCCTATATCGAAAATAAACCATGAAAGTGAAGCTGCTGTTCCAACATATAGCTTCTTATTAAAAATTTCAAGTTCCTGAAGGCAAAAGGGACAAGGAAGCTGTTGAAAAATCATTGTCGAATGTTCCAATTAGAGATAGATCAATGTATACGATGAAGGTTTGTGTTAATTCACAAGTAGACTGATTCTTAACTACTTAATTAAGCCAGTTACCCCTGATGAATGTATAAGCCGCCGACAACCGACTTATTTTTCTGGTAAGAGTTGTTTTTTAGAGCGTCGCAGTTCTAAGGGACGAGGTCGCTAACACCGTGCCTAATCTTCCTCTTTTATCTGGGCTTGGGACTGGCGGAAGCCCCAGGAAGGGATCTAGGCGGAGTTTCACATCAACAGCGTTGAAAAACTGAAATGTTCGGTCACGAATTAATCCGAGAAGCTGAGAAACTCTGATTACAAACCAACAGTGTACATAGGTTCTAGGATTGTGAAGGAAGAGATGATGTATGAATCTATCGTTAGTGATCGGCTAACATGAGAATGCATTTTCAAATGTTGCTTCCTAGTCTCGTGGATTAAAACTACAGATGAAAGTCTCTAAGAGTAGCCCCTTTATTAAAGAAAGAAACTAATGTTATGAACTATTCAATATACGAATGTGTTGTGTACAATGCATGGAGAGTAAAGAAATAGTTCTCTTTGTAAATACAACTGCAAGAATTATATACAGTTTAGATGAGATTACCACTCTCCAAACATTGTACACTTGTTCATCAACTTTATAAAATAGTTCCTAATACTAGTTTCTTTCTATACAACTGCGACAGATCACCGAAATTGACTGACCTTCATAAAAGATAAAGCGTATTTGAAAGTTCAAAAGAAAAAAACCATTTCAACATTCTAGTTTACTTGAAACAAAGAATAAAAATAGTGCGCGCTATCAGTATTTATCATTATTATCTCTTTTCCATGACAAAATTGATTAAACACAGGAGGTAATCAGTTATAAATTTTAAACGGAAAAAAAACTTAAAATCGAATGTACCGAAAAGGTAAACAATAACTACATAAATCATAATAGTAATAATAATAATAGTAGTATATTTTAGTTAAATTTTAAAAAAACAAGCATTTTCTTTCAGTAATTTACATAGAATAGATAGAATATGGTTGTGACAGTGTGAAATCCAGCGCACCCGCATTTCATCGAATTTGGAACTAGTCTATTAGCCGGATGTTCCCTGACATACCACCTCAAAGTTGACGCTCACTTGGCGATTCGAACCTAGTGTTAGGATATCCATCCAATATTCTAAGAGAATTATTGGTCAATTCCTATTGGTTAATTCCTAGTGGTCAATTTTATGGTCGCCCCAGATATCAATACCACGTACGTCAAAGATGTTTCCTATATGTCGTCCTAAATGTCAATGTCACAGACTTCGATGCTGTTTCCTATTCGACCTAACTGTATAAATACGCATTATCTGTGACGTTTTGAAACCCGGACCCGGATCCCTAGTCCGGGATCCTGCTTCTCTTCTGGACACGGACCTCGTACTTTCTGGATGCTTGTAGAATAAATGTCCAACTTCATATCAAGTCTTCTTCTTTTACTCAATGGGAGTTTGTGACACTCGTATTAGAGTAGCATGCCGTGTCGCCGGATCCTCGATCGTCGCTCTCGTTTTCCGACTAAGGGTAAATTCGTAATAGTTCAAGCATATCATTTTGACCTGTTTACATGCATACGTAACACCTAGTATAGTTTGCTTTGAACACCACTGAGTAATCCACTACTGAACACAACTAAATCTAAACTATTTCAAATTGAATTTCTCTCACTGTTTTTATCAGTCAAACGATAGGATGATAATTATGGTTACTATGTAACATGATTGGTCAATACATTATCATCTTATATAACATGCAGAAGATACGTTCCAGGCACTACTAAAAAGCAAATTGGTCACCTCCCTATTTTTTTAAATGTGAATAATATAATTAATGAAATGAATATTTTGTTAAAATAACCTATAAATTATATTTTTACATATCTCTGTCTTTTATATGTGTATTACAATTTAATTATGTCTGTGTAAACTTGGTAATTCATACTGTAACATTGTTTCGAATATCATTTATTTTGTTTAAGCTTGTAAAAAAGCCGAAGGCAAGCTGTAACTTGGAGTCCTTACGGCCAACAGGAAAAGAGACAGACCAACGAACGCACCATGCCGACCATTGGAGATGTATATGGAAAGAATGAATAACAACTGGGTCAAACTGTAAAAGCAGACCCGAGATAGAGTAGGCTGGAGAGTGCTAGTCAGCGACCTATACTCCCATTAGGGGTCACAAGAGTAAGTTAGTAAGGTCGTGGGTTCCACTGTCAGCCACATTCCATCCATTCTGTACAAAGAAGATCTCTAGTGTTGTTAAGAGTAGTTGTCACTTCCTGGTCGTCTGCATCATGAAAAGATATTTCTTCTTGAGAGAGGAATCTCAAAGGAAGAACCATTAAAAATAAATTAGTAATCATAGGGATAATCAAATTATGATATGCTCAGCTAGTCCAAACAAACTACAAACTGCAACAAGGTCACATACACAGTAGATGAGAGATAAACATGCGAAAAGTCTGTCTACACTATACCAATAACCTATATCTACAAATAAATTGTCAATATTTCGATAGAGTCTCTTAAAATCAAACTTCCCATTCAAGCGTCAAAAGAAAAGTGTACATCAGCAATTGAATAAAATCGTATATAACAAACATTGAGTAATAATCAATACAACACAAGCAGAAAACAACTTTTTTTAAAAAACAGGCAAAACTTACAATCATTATCATTTAAAGGAGTTGATCTTGCTGGTCCAATATCTTCTGAATAATAAATATTTTTTTAAAAATAAAATGAAAAAGAAATTTGTATGATCAATGAGGAGGGAAATGTATGTTTTGTACGATGATTTGTGAAAAAAAGGCACTAGAAACAAATTATCTAAAATGTTAGATCAGAAAAAAATCGGTCGAGCACGATTTCATACGCTAACGAATTACTTTCTTCTAGGAATATTTACAAAGTGGTACTTTAGTAACTCCCAGGAAAGAGTTGAAGAATGCTGGTTGGAGGCCTATGCTCCATTAAGTGTAACGGCTGTAAGTGAGTAAGTACTTAAGTGACCTAATTACTTCAGCTTCATAAATCTTTCATTTATACATCATCCTGAATAATAAGTATTCAGCATGTGTTTTAATGCTCAAGGAATACTTTCAAGATAACTCTGGTTAAACTTTATACTCATTTGAAATAATCGATAGTGAATGTATTTAAGATCTAAGGAGGAATCATAATTCTATTCACCATTTTATTTCCTGACAATTACGGGAGTGTGAAATTAACTTACTTGACTTTGGTTCATTTACAAAAACACACATGATTCGTATATTCATCTTTGATTCATAGCTACAAAAATTAACGTAAGGACTCCACGTGGCGAAGCTGTGTAATAGGAGGTAAGTTAATTTGGGTTATTGACATAGATCGAACTAACCACTTGCTTCAATGCTGTGACTGATTTTGAGAGTCTTTAAGGCAGGAAAACTAAAAACCCTTGAAACTGCCCGATGTATGTTTTCGTATATGGATTGTATGGGCTCTGGTCCGCATAATTTATATGTGTAGGTATATGTTAAGGGTTTGTCAGTTGGCCCATAAAGAGGGATCTTAAGTAGAACGTTTATCCCATAAACAGGTAAATTAAAAAAAAATATGGATAGCAAATACGTTCATGAGAATGGCGGTTGTACACTCGCATTTTTCCAATGTGCAAGTGACGTATAACTGACTTCCAAGGTAAGTATGCCTATATGTACCTCGTGAGACAGCTGAAGTGAGAACTCGTGTTTTTGATCTGCAAGTAACATACACTTTTTTCCTGGTGTGACGCTGGCGCGCCAAGATCCTCGAGATAACGGTTCCTTACGAAACATATGGATGCAGTGGTTTGGTATGCCTCAAGTGCCATTTGGTGTCCCCAAATAAGGCTACAATAACCTCTGTAACTGAAGCTATTCAGTTAAATGCGTATACCGAATTAGACAAAGAAGAGATATACTCTTCCATTGAAAACTCCACTCTGAGTGTATCATCATTCGAAAACAGTACTGTAAGTACTGTATCAGGAAGAAGATGAGAGAAATATTAACTCCTAGGACTACTTTGTAGATTATCTATATAATTTTCTTATTGTGTTAAACAACTAGAGCTCTTGATTAATGCATTAACTACTGCTATGTGCTTTGTTATCCTTGTTTTTCGGCAATATATGATTCGCACTATTCTTCATTTATATCCACCTTTGGCTCATTCATGTATATCCGTTATATTCCATTTATTGATGCGAGAGTTGTCGTCTGGTATGCTTGAATTTGTTAGCTATTCATCCAACATCTTAAGAGAATTATTGGTCAATTCCTATAGGTGAATATTATGGTCGTCCTAACAGTCAATGTCACGTACTTCAGTGTTGTTTCTTATTGGTCGTCCTGACTATCAATGTCACTTCAAATGTTGTTTCCTATCGGTCGACTTATCTGTCAATGTCACAGACTTCCATGCTGTTTCCTATTCGATCCCGATCCCTAGTGCGGGATCCTGGTTCTCTTCTGGACTCAGACCTCGTACTATCTGGATGCTTGTAGAATACATGTTCTACTTCATATCATGTCTTCTTTTTACTCAATATGGGGTTTGGGACACTCGGATTAGAGTAGCATATCGTGTCGCCGGATCCTCAATCGTCGCTCTCGTTTTCCGACTAAGGTAAATTCGGAATAGTTCAAGCACATCAAGTTGACGAGTTTGCGTGGATGAGTAACAGAAATATGGTGATGAGTAGAGGTTGATGATGAAGGATTTTCGCACCATAGAGGCAAGGTTGAAAGAACGAAGCTATCACATGGTGAACTGATACATATTTAGAGTTGATTCTCGATTACTGATTTTAACAATGTAATTCTGATTGGTGTATTTTATATGTCACGTAGTGTTAGACAACAATTCAGAACATCACAGTTAAACTATGTATAAAATCATAACAATTTTAATATTAAATTGAATTACCTGAACTTGTAAATGACATAATATCAGCTGCATTAACTCGAGGTGTATTGCTCATATGAACTAAAGTTGGTTGACCACTAATAGTTGTATAAGTAGATGGATTCATGACATGAGCGTAAGTAGCAATTATTTGAGCTGAATAAAATAGTGTTTTTTTTTATCAAAGGAAAAAAAAACAATGCTAAGTGAGATAAAGAGAAAAGGGTTAAATAGAAGAAGTTTTTAATTTAAAAAAAAGTAAATATTATTATGATATTCATTGTGTAGATATGGCATCATGGATCGATCACTGTTAGACAAGGATATGCACTGCTGATGAGTCCTATACTAGGACGAAACGATCATTTAATGCGTCCAAGTTTCTAAAAACTCCGCTTGTAGACCCTTTGAGGCTAATGCCGATCCCAAGCTGGGATAAAGTAGGAGGGTCGGGCTTGGAGGTGGCGACCCCATCCGGCAAAAAACTAACTCGCTAAAAAAACGCTAACAAGAAAAAATGATTCAAACCATATAAAGTCTTCATTCAAAAGAGTTATGACGTCTCATAATGAAAGCCGATTTCCTTCAAGAGTCATGAGATCAATGCCCCTTCTGAAAACATCCGAACTCTTTCACGGTGTGGGCAGCCGGGAAGTAACATCCACTCTCATACCACCCATAAAAGCACACGAGACCGAATTGGTCACAATCAAATCTAACAATAATCGATTCATGATGTCATCTCACTAACCAATACACAGAGACAACGTTTGAGTAAACGATACACTACGAGAACAACAACAGAACTTCTACAACAACTACTACTCTTACACATTTTTGAAACCATGAATCGATCAATGTTAGACCACCATTAGAAACCTGGAAGCACTGGACGGCCGTTTCGTCCTGGTATGAGACTCCTCAGAAGTGCGCATTCACGACTCCTGCACCCCGCAAGATTCGAACCCAGGACCTTCGGTATTGTAAGCGAACGCCTAACCATCGGGCCACTGTGGAGTCCCATACGAGGACGAAACGGCCGTCCAGTGCTTCCAGGTTTCTAATGGTGGTCTAACATTGATCGATTCATGGTTTCAAAAATGTGTAACTTAACAATCTTCACAACCCCGTAATACTACTATTACACTAAGCTTGAACGTCAACCCGATACTAACTTGCCCAAATCACATCAATAAATGGAAAATAACAAAAATCAATGAATGAGACAAAAGTGGCTGTGACTGAAATGCATGTCATGAATTCCATTGCTAGTTACATTCTGTCTATTCTAGGACAAATAATAATATTGCTTGTATCATTGTTATTTTCTTTGAACTATGCGATGAAGAGTATGGAGATGGATTTTCTTCTACAACAGACATACACCTTTCTACTAACGATTACAAAGACAAAATTTGTCTAGTGAGTAAAGGAAAGTGAACTACATTCAAGGAGTTTCTTTGATAGCACTTGAAGAAAAGAACTTTTAGAATCCTTAGAAAAAAAATTTACGGATTGTTTATATTGTAAATATTGTATTGAAGATAACTAGCTCCTTTCAAGTGAATCACGCACGATTTCAAGGAAACAGGAACATAATACAGATGATATGTTGCGTTTTTTTACGGCCAACTTTTCATATGAGCAAACGTTAGTTCAATGAATTTAGAGAAACTTTTTCAGAAATACGATTCTAGCAGAATATTTGAGGTTTAGGAAAGAAATTTTACGACTATGAGATAGCTAAGGAGGATACTTGTAATAAGTTTATTACTTCAACGTTGAGAAACCATCTTCCTAGTGTTCCAAACAATTTTCTGCTTTTGAAACTCGAAGCGAATATAGAAAGCACGGAGGATGGAAGATTTAAGTAAAATTATGATGGACAGAAAACAAGAGAACGCACAAGATTACAAATGACCTTAAGAGTCTAGAAGGCTCTGGAAGATAAGTTTGTCTAATCAAGATAAACAAAACAGGATTCATAGATTCTAGAATGAGTGTGAAGATTGTTAAAGAGTGCTGTTTGTTCGAAGCATTTTCCTAGGGAAACTATCGATGCCTTAGGCGAGTTTTGAAAAAAAGGTGAAGCAGAACAATTGCACTCAGTCAGCTAAAACAAAGAACTTCATACGCACGTACATCCATTCAAGTTGTCATACAACATTAGCACTGACTTGCAATTGTCAATTCAAATCCTATAGTGGTTGAGGTAGTAAAAGTATGAGCAGTATTCAGGAAGATTAGAGTTCGAAGATATTATTCGCGAAGTATAATTCAGAGAAATAAACTTGCGAAGAGAACGAAGTAGGTCATGAGGAATTCAAATTAAAATTTGAGAGAACACAAAGAATGGATTCACCTGAGGCATTCCAAACGATTTTCAGTCATGTCATTCAAAGTCATTAACCACCGATTAGGATTGTCTCGAGAACCCCAATTAGGTAGTTTACACCAATAAACATAGCTCAGTTCAGTTGTTACTGGATTTATGGATTTGTGCCATGTTTCGGGTCGACTCCCCTTAGCTTTTTTCCAGCCTACTTTTATACTAAACAACATCGCTCGTCGACGCAGTTGCTGGTTAGGCGTATGTAACACATCTGCAAACAATTGTACTGCTTCAAGTAAGGAGTATCTTGAGGTGATGAAGTATAATCCACTCTAATTTTGCAAACAAACTTTTATGGTTTCAGTCGATATGTCTATGGAACAGGTCATAGTATCGAAATGTTGGAAATGATTTTCAGCTCAGGTAGACACTGAAGATACTTTTCAAAGTGATGTTAAGAGCTCCATATTTACACTACGAAATACTAAGAACACACTACCGTCAAAAGACCATTCTGTACACGAAATCTGGCAGAAAAATTTTTAATATCGACTTTATAAGAAGGAAATTCCTGAGTGACGTTGTACAACAATCTCCTTGTCTTTGGCAATGGAAATCAGTGAATACAAAGTCAGGTGTACTAGTTTTAAGGGTTGATTTTCTTATCTGAAAGAAATATTTTACTACCCTCTATACAATCGATAATCTTATCATTTTCCAATTGAATTATGTGAAATATAATAGAACACAAAGCAATGAAAATTTTAACCAACATATTGGTTTATCATAAGACATTCTGATTTGCACACCTTTAAGTTTCATTCGACCCACTTCTACACTAGTAAATATTATCCAGCAGTGATCAGTTACATCTAAGACTTGCTCTGGTCACTTCAAATAACAAGCATTTATAACGATATCAATCAGCTTGGTGTCTTACTTTAAAAATTGCTGATTCAGTCGTGGCACGAAACATTGAGCAATGCTTCAAGATATCTACAGTTTGTGAATATCTTCTACTTTTATAGATTATGCTTCGCAGGAATACAAAGTAGACCACTGCCCAGGATATTCTTTCTTTGGTTGTCAGACAGACACTTCATCTGTGTCATAAGTGACACAAGTTAGTAAAAACAAAGTGAACTGTTTTCAAATTTGTGTCAAGATGGTTCCATTAGATATTTTTTGAAAAACCCTCGTCAGGGAAAAAAAATAGAAGCACATGAACATGTAAAACCAGGAATCAAAAACACAACCCAATTATGCACACACAAACATAGATATATCATACATATATATGTATATACACACAAATTACACTTCCAGCTTACATTGATCTACAACATTACACGGTACAGGATATCTTGATGATGATTGTCCAGTATAGACCATATGCGGTGGAGCAGCTTGAGGAGTGACGATCGATGCAAATCGTTCCATTGGTATTCGACCATTGAAATGATGATGATGATGATTATACATGGATGTAGTTGGATAATATTGTACTAAATAATTATTATTACTAATATTATTGTTATTATTATTTGATGGTATAACTGATGGAATGAAATGATTTGAAGGATAACCAGCCATTGGAATACTACTACTATTATGATCATTGACTAGTGGTGGTGAACGTGAAGCAACAATCATAGGATTCACTACATTTGGAATCAATGAAACTGTTGGATAAGAATAGCCTAGATTTGGATCATTCTGAAATAGTAAAAAAAATAACATTGAGTTAATTTCTTAAACTTTTACATTTTTTACAAAAAAAAATTACGTAACATTTGGATTACTGAATGAAACTGTCAGCAACAACGTAGGGTTTGGTACGTACGTACACTGGTTCAAGCCGTCAATAGAACATTAGCATTGAGAGATGGAATGGTCAATTCAAATCCCATAGTGGTAAAGGTAGTAGTAGTTGCGTAAACTGATGATCGGCGAAACAAGTAATGACAGAATATATTTACATTGTTTGATAATCAATCAAGCGGCTAATGTCAAAACCAACTTGCTACAAACAATAGTGCTAACCATAAAAAATCATGTTAAGCATTAAAAACTCAGCCACAGCAGTGAGAAGTTCTGCGTTTCAAAGAGTTATGACGTGACAAGATGAAAGCTGAGTTTCTTCGGAAGTCACGAGGTCGACAACCAGAGCAACAATTAATGTAGGAACATGGAAAGTTCACACAATGTGCGAGACCGTAAGAACTACTTAAGTTACAGTGTACAGCATATGTTCCATTTGGGGTTACAAGTGTAAGTGAGTAAGTAAGTAACATCGTTGTCCTAAATTAGTTAACACTCATCAGTAAGATGTGTGGATCGATAATTTTGAAAGAGTGCATCATTTTCTAAGGGATACGAATACACGTGTCATTCATTTAGTTCCACTTTTTAGGATGCCATCACTACACTATTCGGACAACGAATAACCTTCTCTTGGATTGATTGATCACTGAGTGTAGCGATCAATGTTATGTATATCTAACCAACTAATAAGAAACCTAAGATCTTAAAATTTCCTGTCAACTTGCTCCAATCAGTCAAATTCAACACGGTTATTATTCTAGGATTATTCTAGGAGATCTAATAAGGAGCCATAACCACTTGAATTTAATCACACTGAATATGAGGTACTAATTACCTATCGATGGTCTTGAGAAGTGGTTTCACAATAACACCAGTTATTTAAAATCAACTCAGTAGTCTAAACGTCAAGCACCACTAGCAATGAAACCTGAAATTTTTAAGTTTGAACTCTGCATTCGTACTCCTGAAAGAGTTCAATAACAAAAAAGGGAAACAGATATATACAGTGTTTCCTGATGGCTGATAAGTTGATCTAACCGAAATCAGTTTATGAAAGTGATATATTTTTTTCATTAAATCGAATATGATAAACATAACAAGAACACTATAAGATATCACTTGAGATTGACAAATTTCAATTTCAATCGCTTCTTATCATCGCAATTTACAATACACTAAGATATGATTAGTTAAATATGAATATTAAAATAGTTTAGCCAAATCAGTCAGTTAGTCAGTCAGCAACAACGTAGAACTTTGTACGTATGTACATCAGTTCAAGTTTACAAACCACATTATCACAGAGATGCGATTGTCAATTTAAGGTAGATGTAGTATAAGTAGTAAAAGAAGATTAGGGTTCTAAGACGTCATCGGGGAAGTTTAATTCAGTGAAATAAACTTAAGCGAAAGATAAAGGCCATGAGGAATGCAGATTAGAATTTCAGAGAAGACAAAGAATGGATGAACGGTGCCATTGCAAACGGTTTTCAACCATCTCATTCAAAGTTGATTAACATTGTCTCGTGGACCCTAACCATGTAGTCTGCATTTACCAACATGACTTAGTTCGCTTGTCAGTGACTTCATGCATTTCTGCCATGTTTTGGTTTAGCTGCCTTTAGCTTTCTTCCAGCCTACCCCTCTACACCACAAAACCTAGGTGTCCTCGAGGCAGTCGGTGGTTGGGCAAACGTAACACATCTATCTCCCAACCACCAGTTGAGCTGAATGAATATAAATAAGCTGATAGATTGGTTTTCATCAATAGAAAAAAGTTGGTTGTCAGTGTACAACGACTATAATTGTAAGTGATCAGATTATTTTGTGATTACTTTTAGCAAGTAAACTTTGTTGTTGCCTTCAAGGTCATTGGATATAAACAGACTTGGTTCCCAATGAAAGTTAAGACTACAAATGATCAGTTAACTTTTTGGCATAAATGTGTATCTTGTATAAAATGGTCTCCATATTGAACCTATAGGTTTTAAAGAATTCTCAACAAAGATGGATGGTAGTTAGCAGTGGAATCCAACCAGTAGCTAAATGGATAACACGATGGCGTTTGAAGTGAGAGGTAATATATTCAAGTCTTGCAGTGAATATTAAATCTGGAATTTGGCAGGTACATCCCAGCTATAGAATAATAATGGACTAATTCTGAAAGACTCATCTTTTCTAACTCATAATATGAGCATGTAAATATTTATTACCGCATAAGTACTGTTGTTTAACACAATATCTAGTTCATTTGTTGTGTCATATTAGCAAAGTTTTCGATTAATTGTAAATAGAATTTGCTATAGATCAACAACAAGAAACTTTTATACATTTGATTGTTTCAGTTAAGATTTAACAGTAAGATTATTGATATACACGAATATCTGATATGATTCGTGATTTCTGTTCAGATCTAAACAATCATGTCAATACTTCAATTCGAATAGAAATCATATTTTTTAGGATCAAGATCAGATATTATAGTTAATGTTATCAAGTTATTTATGAGATTTGAAGTTAATTTATTTCATACAATTTTTAGAGGAAATAAAAAACCAATTCTCTTTAGTCTCTACTCATCGAAAAAAGGAACAAATCGAAGTTTGTTATCAAAATTAATATAATCAGTGTGGGAATATTAGGGAATATCCTTCAAAATAGTCTATAGAGACACAGAAATGCCAGAAAATATTTTATCTAATCGATATTAGATAGACGTTTTGTAGAAACATCTGGAAAATGTACATTCACGTGCCACAATCCTGATTGCAGATCTAGTCATGCAGCTCCTGTGCTTCTCAAACCTTCCAGAAGCTCAGGATCATGAGTAATTCTATAAATGCCTTGATTTTTCTGTACGTAAACAAAACTTGGAGTAAAGCGCTCTTTTCGTACTTTACGCCTTTGACATGTAGATTTCATTTTGGAGTCATTAGAAGCAGTTACGAAATCAGATCTTCAGTTCATCTAACAGACTTATTACAATTAGCTCAATAACCAGGTACAAATTCAACTCCACCTGGAGACTTTCTAAGGTTACTACCGGTCCCAAACCCGAACAAAGGGGGAGGGTTAGGCATGGGGTTAGCGACCCCATCCCTTAGAAATCTAACTTGCTAAAAAAACGCTAACCAGAAAAATAATTCGCTGGTCAACAGCCTATACTTCATTATAGGGGTAACAGGCGTGAGTAAGTAAACAGGTACAGATTTATATACTTGACATCCAATCAATTAATAAACATGAGCACTATAAATGTTACCTAATGACACCAACCGAAGTAACTCAAACCCATTTATAAAACCTGGGATTCACTTTGTAGTTTAATTTCTAAAGCTTTATCAGCAATGAATCACAGCTCCATTTTGTAAACATGTAATTATAGAGTTCTGATAGTTGTTGAGTTTGATTGAGATCATAAAATCGATCACTGTTAGAACGTAGGGGCTGGATTCGATTCCAGCAAGTGGCGATTGTTGATAGGCACTGCCACTGATGAGTCCCATATTGGGACAAAACAGTCTTTCAATGTTTCTAGGTTTCTAATGGTGGTCTAACATTGATCGATTCCACAGTTTCAATGTATAATATTTGTCATACAGTAAAATTCCTTTCCACATTTGAAATCATCGATCAATCATTGTTAGACCACCATTAGAAACCTAGAAACACTGAACGATTTTTGTGTCTTAATATGGGACTCATCAGCAGTGCGCATCCACGACTCCTGCTCCTCGCAGGATTCTAACCCGAGACCTTCGGTATTGTGCGCGAACGCCTAACCATCGGACCACTGGACTGGCATCCAAAAAAATCTTTTCATGAATAAACAAAAATTCTAAATCATAAAAATTCACAACCAATCACTACTACTTACTGACAAACCATGAGTCTGATGATGAGGATGCTGATGCTGATTATAAGTTAAATTAGGCAGTATTCTTGTCGGTGTACCAATACTACCATGAATTGAATTTGTACTACCAGTACTATCCGCATTTGTTGGAGTTATTTGTTGTCGATAACCACCACCACCCCCACCCCCACCACCAGTAATCAGATGGTTAGGATTAGGTGATTGACTACTGTCAATTGTATGTTCTTGTGATACTGAAGCAAATTGTAATGAATCCGAATCATGATCCCATGAATAGGAACCTGTATCTGTTGGCATATATAGATAGATATATTGACAGTAAAATAAATAATCTAGAATAAACTCGAATAATAATAATAATGACAAACTTTGACATGTTATTCAATCAAACAAAATGCTCATTGTCAGTCAGTCAGTCAGTCAATCAGTCAGCTGCAACGTAGAACTTTGTATGTGTACGTATATGAGTTCAAGTTATTGTCATACCATATTAGCACACAGTGGAAGGACCTTTAACATCACTGATTTGATTTCTCTTTCAGTACACTATTTTGTGACTCTTTCAAGGGCACTTTTCGTAGTGTGATTATTACGCCTGAATTGACTGCTTGTTGTTCGTTCGTTTCAAAATACTCGTGGATTATAAATTCTTCCTACTGGCTGTGGACTGCTTCCTCTAGTTACTTGGGTTGTAACGCAGATGAACAACGTAGCTCGTCTCTTTATTGCTTCTCTGGTTTATACGTTCCGTTCGCTGGGGCCTTGTTGTGTCTTAACTATCGCAAGCATGTTAGCATTCCTATTTTTCTTCTAACCGACTCAAGGTTAGGCTAATATCTACTCAACTGAGATCGAATTAGACCCGTATGGTTTATTCAATAACCTGATATTTGCAGTTGTTAATTGGTTTCAGTTAATCAGTTAGCTACAACGTAGAACTTCGTATGTGTACTTACAGCAATTCAAGTTACCATACTACATTAGCACACAGAGAGATAGAATTGCCGATTCAAATCCCATAGTAGTAGAGGTATAAGAAGAAATAGAGGTAATGGAGAAGATTAGGGAACAAAGACAAGATTCGAGAAGTACTATCCAATGGAGTTAAATGTTAAAAAAGAAAATGAGAAGTCATGAGGAATTCAGAAGACTAGAATTTAAGAGAAAAGACAAAAAATAGATGCACATGCGCGATGTTCATTGTAAGTAACTGATAAAACGGAAGAATTCCAGCATAGTAAAGATGCAAAATGTTTGGCCATTTATATCGAGACATTGGTTGATAGTGTTCGCGTTTATTAGCTGCTGTTCACGGTATATCTCTCTCTTTGATCAGTGCTCTTTCCAGTTCAACACTACACAAATGATTGTAACAAAGATCGGATTTACTAATGCTAGCCTATTTGTATCACCACTTCCCTTGGTGATCAGTTAGAAAACGAAGATTGCTAGTAAATGTATATATGTATATATATATATATATATATATATATATATATATATATATATATATATATATATATATTGCATCATTATATCATGATTCTGACTATTAAAAAAAAGACTTATCAGATTGTCTACATTCATATTTATCATGTGTGTTGATATCTGAAAGATTAGAGTTTTAATTCATGGACTCTTAATAATTATTATTCTGTATACTGTCATTGTATAATTAATAATTAACTAGATTATATTACACATTGTATCACAGACTCCAAATATTCAAAGCCATTTTCGACTTTCTCATGCATAAATATATTTCTTCATTCTATTATGTATGGTATGATGTAGTCTCTCGCATGATTTGCATATATATAAAATATTTCTGCTTGAAATATAGCGAAATTTTTAGTAAAGACTGACTTATGTACTTCTGGACTAAAAGACAGGCAGGGTAAGAAGAAAAGAAGCCATTGAATTGAGACCAAATTAAGATTTAAAGCTAAATCAAGACTACTAGTGCGCTAAGACAATTCTGTGATTGGTGTTTTATATTTGTCGAGTGATACAAGGTTAAGGATTGGAAATATAACAGTGTGTATATTTAATATATAAATTATTGAGGAATAATAGATTTGTTAGGAGAAGTATCCTTTCAGTGAATAACCAAATCAAAAATATATGCACAACTCATTCATTACTAGATATATATACACCTCCGAAGATTAGGTTAGATTTTAAACCAATCGAGTGTATATATATTCCATCAGAAAGTTCATCCAAATCTTGATCAATGACGTACATGCATTAAGATTTATCATTTATCATTTACTCTGTATCTGATTGGCTCAGTGCATCAATAGCTAAAAGATATCTTGACTGATAACCTCCACTCTATAGATAACATTTAAAAATTATCAATATTTTTCTACACATTTCTCATTTCTTGAATTATTTATTAAGTTACTTCTATACTTTACATTGACTATCGGCTATAGATATATTTAGGCAGTATTTCTTATTTATGTGTAGTAATTATTTTATTGGACACCGAATCCATGAATATGATTGAAATCATGAATCAATTAATGTTAGACCACCATTAAAAATCTGAAAGCACTAGACGATAGTTTTTTTTTTAGTATGGGACTCATAAGCGATGCGCATCCACGATCCTGAAAGTGGTCTTGCATGCAAATGCATAACCTCTCGACCACTGAGTCAATGTTCAACGGTGTTAACGTCTAATTTCATTCAATCTACGATAAGGCGCGACCATATTCCATTGTTTTCGATGGCTAACTGTCTTATACCAGACATGATCACGACCTCTGTCTAGAAGCTAGTCGTCACTAGTGAGCATATGATGATTGTCAGTGGATGGAGTTGTATTTGAAAACCCAGCAAATTGTTACAATGCACATTCTACTTTAAACTACGCTACAATAGTGAAACATGGTTTGTGGACATATGTCACAAGTTCGGGTTACTAGTATTTATTCATAGGTATCTGCAAAGTATTGTTCATGTGTTGTAGGACGATTAAGTCAGATATCCAGAGGTTGAGCGAAGACTGCCAGACGTAGGTGATAAATAGACACAGATTAGGTCATAAAGCTACATTGATTAAGATGACTGGGACATAAGTTATCTAGGCCTAGCCATCGTCTATCTTGGCGTCCAATGTTGATTGAAGTACAAATATGTGGAACGCTCAAATCTAAACAAAACACCAGGACAAAAAGTCAATAAATTTTGGTCTGAGTCTTTTTAGCAGAGGCAGACTAAGAAAATAATAATAGAGACAATGATAATAATAAATTCAACACTGTCTGGAGCCCTTCTGAGTTTACTGCCGGTCCCAAGCCCAGAAGGTTGTGGATGGAGTTAGTGACCTTATCCCGTAGAAAATCAAATTGCTAAAAAAAAGTTAACCAGAAAAAAACAATTCAAGCCATTTAAACTCTGCCCTGTCAATTGGAAGGTCTTCATTTCGAAGAGTTATGAGGTCTTATGATGAAAGCCGATTTTTTTCGGAAGGCACGAAGCCATGCGCAATTTCTGACAATCAGAACAACTGTTGAAAGGAATGCCCAAGACAGAGTAGGCTAGAGAATGCTAGTCGACAGCCTATGCTCCATAAGGGATAACAAAGGTGTAAATACGTAGTAATAACAAATTCATAACAAGCAAACCAACAATATACACATTAACTTACTCATATTATTCTGATTATTATAGAAAACACCTTGATTCGGTGTAATAGCAGCTGATGAAACTTGCCCAGAACCACACATAACACCAGCTCCAACTCCACTAGAAGCACCAACACCAACAGTAGCCGATGATAAATTCATTGATGTTGTCAATATATTATTCGGCATTGTAACCAGAGTAGTACTAACTAACAAATTAGAGGATGGTTGTTGTGAAGCACCACCGCCTCCGCCGCCGCCGCCACCACCACCCCCAACACCACAACCAATATTATCTGAAGCCAGCAATGCTTCACCATTACTCATTAATAAAGCCACATCTTGATTAGCTAGATTTGTGCTCATACCAAATGAAGATTTGGTTAGACATTTACGTTTTCTTCCAAAATATTGAGAAGAAATGGAATTGTTCTGAGTGTTTATATGATTGTTTCGATTGTTATTATTAGTAGTGTGAGTATTACTATTAGTAGTATTATTAGTTTCGTTTAAATTATCCGCATCCGGTAAATGAGTTAAATTTTTTCCAAGTTTATAGCTTGAAATAAAATATATTAATAAAATATATACATTAGGAAGTCATTGAACGATCGATAAATATACATTATACCTATATAACTAACACACTATTCTAGTGTATTACTGGTACTTACAGATAACATGGTCGGTAATTCAAATACTACAATGAAACGGTGATTTTTTTTTCAATGAAGAAAAAAAGCCCCAGTCGGTAAACAGATATGCTTTTGTGTGATGTACTTGTTTTATCATTACGTGGCGCTTACCCACCTCAAACTAAATTGTGATTTAGTAATATGGCGGTCATAGATACAATCAACGAATCAACATATACAAGAAGAAGGTTGAGCAAAAGGCTAAATTCCCGTAGCTATGGTAACACTCATAAATCATGGGAATCATTTAGACTTTCTACTGCTCAACTAATCACTTTCAATCAAGATTTTCTTCTTCTTTTTCTTCTTCTGTCTGTTCTTTCTACTCAAGGATTAAATCGGTGGCATCAGTAAAAGCCGCAGACATACAAACACATATACAAAGAGAATTTTTTTAACGCAATGGACAAATAAAAGAAACATATTAAAATAGTTATTTCAATAAATAATTATGAGAGGAATCTACGTTTATGCCCCTAGGGTTGGTTACATTCTATTTTGACTACGTTTTGTTGAGTCCACAAGACTAAATGATAGGACATTGTGCTATGTTAGGTAGTTTGAATAGATTAGGTTTCCCTGGGATTCATGTTAGTTAGCATATATAGATAGATACAACGCAGAACTTCGTACGTAAGTACATCAAGTTCAGGTTGCCATACCACATCAGCACAGAGACACAACTGTCAGTTCAAATCCAAGAGTGATAGCAATAATAGAAGTATTAGCAGTGATGGAGAAGATTAGGGAGCGAAGATATGATTCGAGAAGTATAATTCAGTAAGATAAATTTAAAAGGAGAAAGATAGAGATGATGAGGAATTCAGAAGGTTAGAATTTCATAGAACACAAAGAGTGGACGCAAATGCGCCATTGCAAATGATTCTCAGCCATGTCGTTCAAGGTCTCTAACCATCGATTATTATCAACTCGCGGACCCCAACCAGGTAGCCTACATCTATCGACATGACTCAATCCAGCTGTCAGTGATTTCATGGATTTCTGCCATGTTTTGGTTTGGCCGCCCCTAGCTTTTTTCCAACCTACTCCTACACTGAAAAACATAGCTCGTCGCGGCAGTCGGTGGTTAGCCATACATAACACATGTCCCAACTACCTCAACTGATGAAGTTTCAATACTTCATCTATTGATTTGCCATCCCTACCTAGAACTCGTTTCCTAACGACAGCATAGCATATATCGTGTTATATTAATTCAGTAGTGTTCGTAGATCGATTGAGAGAGTATAAAAATATCAAACTCATTATATTGTTTTTTTTGAATTATGGCTCTACGATTATTTAGTTCATGAAAAAAAAACCAAAATAATACAGTTATTCAGAATAAGTTCATATGTACTACGTGTTCAAGTTACACTGTATTGATTTAAAGTACAATGATACTTCTTAATCCAATCAAAAAAAATCAAAGTAAAAATAGACTTAAGTGTGAATTTCTAATTTAATAACTGAAAGTAAGCAATTAAGTCTATTGGCATGATAGAACCTACATAAACATACGATCCAGTCAATATATATCTCGGTTGGATGATGTGGATAGGCAATCCCAACCACCACGTCAAGGTATTAGCTACGGTCGGATTAATACTGTCATATTCATTTGCTTATTACTTTTAAACTGTAAACTTGTTGTTATTTTTATTCTTACTGTTCTGTAAACGAATCCTATGATACGATAAGATCTAAGTAAGTAAGTAAGTAAGTAAGTCTTTTGTTTGGATGCTTCTAACTGGCTTCCTAGTCGACTACTTCTAAACATGAACCTGGACAGTAGAAAAAGAAACTCGAAATTAATGTAAAAGCTTTATTCTAAAAAATCTTTTATGTGAAAGGAAGATAAGTTAATTAATTGATTGATAACTGTTAAACTTGCAAAACGTCTAGAAAAACATGATAAATTAGGTAGTGAACTAAGTAATCATCATGAATTCTGAAGATTATTTTTTATAGAGGAATTCAGATCAGATAACAAAATCAAAGGAGGAGATTGAACAGTTTGAATTTGTGAACTAACGATTAAAAGTTGCAAAATTTTATTGTTCAATAAGTCATACAAAACAAACATCAATCCAACAAATATAAATAGGATGTATGTAATTCTGTTTAAGTGAGCCAATCAGAAGTGGTTTAATGAGAAAGCCATTTGATGACCATCAGAAAATGTTCTGATATATATATATATATATATCCAGCAGTGAGTTTGTGAGGTTGATGTTCAGATATCGAATATTTCACATCATCATGCATTTCGTCATATACAGTTTTTGACAAGGGGTAATATTTTCAGGTTAACTTTAGTTCATATACATAGTTTAGGAAAAACAGTCAACAGTAGTCTTTAGATCTTATCGTATCATTCGCTTCGTTTACAGAACAGTAACAATAAAAAGAACAAACATAGAGTTTAAAACTAATAAGCAAATGAGCATGATGGTATTAATCCGACCGTAGCTGATACCTTACAAGATGGTCAGGCTTGCTTATCGCGATGACCCAAATGAGCCATATCGGCTGCAACATATGTTCCTGTAAGTTCTACCATGCCAGGAAGATCGATTGAAGAGCGGTAACACTAAAAGCAGCAAATCAAGGTCTGAAGGCGAAGTCGTACTGATGACTGTAGAGGAGTATAACAGCAGTAAAGTGTTTCCCTCGGACAACCAGCATCTGAAGCGATGCTGCTTTCTCACAGGGAATAAAGCGGTTAGAAAATGCCGACCCTAAAAATATCATACCTCCCCTTCGCTCACGGATTTCCGTCTCCGGTGGTGAGGCCACTCGAAAAGCGGATCTAACACGTCAACTTACTACAAAAAGGCAGTACGTGATCGGCCTCAAGTAGTTGTCCCTTGGGCTCTGCGGTCAGACTACCTGGTCGCTAAGACCAACACTAATCGAACTTTCCAATAACGCTCTTAGCTCCAGAACCAAACATTCTCACGTTGCTTTATCACCTTACGCCACTAATGAAAACGGTTCGTGTACGCAAAACGTTATTCCTGGTTTCCTGAATTCACGTTCTAAATTACCTTATACCAAACACGACAACAGGTTTTCTTGGCTAGGACTTTAGAATCTCGTATGTATTCTGCATCTCCGAAACGCGCATACAGGGTCTGAGGACAGTGATCGAATTGTCCACCTTATCCAAATGAAAAGTCGTTTCGATTTACGCTCTATGTATCTGGAAACCTTTCCCGTGACCTCGCTGGTGTAGATATAACATTGAGTACTAGGGAAGAACTCATCATCATCATCAACAGCAACGTAGAACTAGGGCAGAACTAGCTCTTTCAGACTGGATCCCAGTAGATAGTCACTTATGCGCTGTCCGAGTAAACAGGACGCTCGCCAATGCCTCTGCGTCGTCTCTGCCTACGCTCCCACTGACTGTAACTTAGATGAAATTTACTGAAAATTTTAAGAACAGATAATCGCGACCGTCTGCTGCAACTATGCTCAGACAATCGCCTATTCCTAGTAAGCGCCAACTTTAAGCATGAGGAAAAACATTTCTTGACATGGCGACCCCCAAATTCATCACAACGTTGGACCTAACTAGACCACATCTCTATCAATCACCGATGGAGGGGTTCGATAGAGAAATATCTCTCGTTCTGGGGCACATGAATAGATTGAGATCACGCTCTCGCATATTTGTTTTCGGATTACTGGAGTAGGAAAGAAGCTGCGTAAAAACTTCTTAGGGTTTTAATTAGTGGTAGTAAAACTACGAACATACTTCAGAAACAACTAAAAAACAGTCAGGCAGTCATGTAACCGATACTCATCCCGTAGCAGCTACTGTTGAAACAGTAGCGATATCTACTAGTAAGGTAAAGCATAAGGTTAGGGAGAAGCCTATGATCTCAGTAGCACTTGCCGAACCGATAGATACTCGGAAACTCATCCCGCCTTCTCTGACCGTGACGAGTAGCGAAGTAAGCTTAGGCGCAGGCTGATAAATAGCCTGCACAATGATCGCGAACAGTGGTGGATAACGGAAGAAAGAGCGATGGAAAAGGCAGCTATGATAGGTAACAGTAGATAACTGTTGCACCTGATCTAGGAAACTGGTACTAGGAACCCATCTATTAGTAAGCCTATCTCGGAAAAGGATGGGCGTATTATTCACTCTCAATCCAGGAGATTAGATCGATGAGCAGAACACTTTAGGGATCAGTTCAACTGGCCTTAAGCCACACTTCGGTTACCCTCGATTTCCAGTCCACCTGAATGGCAGATTGATGCAAGTCCTACGAATCTTAACGAGGTTGAAAAGCTATGGCTGTGAAACATGGCCAGTAACAGTAGAGGATATTCCTGGATTACTAGTATTCGTACAAAGGTGTCTTCGAAGCACAGCTCGTATATTCTGAGAACACCGAGTAAACAATGCACTTGCTAGGAAACGAGTACTAGGTAATGATGGCAAATCAGTTGAGAAAGTGGTGAATCTTCGTCGATTAGGTGGTTGGAACATGAGTTACGAATGACCAACCACCGACTGCTGCGACGAACGATGTTTGCAACGGCGCAGGTGCGTGTATTCTTTGTGTTCCCTCAAATTCGAATCTTATGAATTCCTCATCACCTTTAACTATTTGTTATGAAGTTTATTTCACCAGATTATAATTCTTGGATAATGTATTCGAACCGTGAGCTTTTCAATTACTGCTCATTCTTCTACTACCTCTACCACTATGGGATTTCAGTTGACGATTGCGTCTCTGTGCTAATGTGGTATGGCAACTTGAAGTGGTGTACGTACTTTCGTACGAAGTTTTACGTTGTGACTGACTGACTGATGACGGTACTAAGATTTTTCCTTCACGTAATACACCATATTTAATGATTCTGTCTTTTCATAAGGCAGGGCTTAGAATAAAAGGCTAAAAATAGCATATCTCAACTTCGTCTTCACGTTTCAGCAATAAAACCTGAAAAGTACGGAGCTAGGCAAAAACTACTCTCAAGCCCCGATTGGGGCGCTCTGGTATTACCGTCAAGCTATCAGGGTCGTCCAGCCCCCCGCCTTTTAGAGCCATAGAAAAAGATTTATCTTTCTACGACCTTATAACATTACACGGGTACAACGTTCTGGGAAGTTGCGATATCCTTTGCGCGAAATTCTTAAATTGATCATAGTTAGATAATAACACAATTGAATGCCTGTTCAGTAGTCCAGAAGTTAGCCGTTCGTGCACAAGACCGAAGGCCCTGAGTTCGGATCCTGAGTGTAGGAGCTGTGGGTGCGCACTGCTGATGAGTCCTATGCCATTACGAAACGGCTGTCCAGTGTTTCCAGGTTTCTTATGGTGGTCTAACAATGATTCATTCATGACTTCAAAGTAATAAATATGGAGTGAGAGGGAGGGAGAGAGAGAGGAGAAAACAACTTACCTTGTAAGTGGACCAAAATGTCGACGATGTTTTCGATAAACTAATGAAATGATAATAATGATAAGAATCATCATTAATAATCCAATAATAATCCCGATAGTTAACCAGGAATTTTTTATTGGTCCATATAGAATTGTGTCAGCAAATGTAGCATTACTACGACTATCAGTACCAGTACTGTGATATGGTTTCTTACCATTTAACAAAGTTGTAGGTTGTTTAATAAAAATTAAATCTGCTGGATAATGAGCAATTTTATCATTATCATGTATCTTATTATGATGTTTTAATGAAATAACCGGATTCATAATTGGCATAGATTGATCGTCACGATTGGTAAATGTTAGAACACCACCGCCTTGGCCATAAACTTGAAATTAAGGAGGAAAAAACAGACGGAACGAGTCAAAACATATTTTAGATAAATATTTATCGACATTTGAACGAATTCAGTAAGTCAGTCAGTCAGCTACAACGTAGAACTTCTTACGTACGTACACCAGTTCAAGTTGCCATACCATATTATCATACAGAGAGGGAATTAGTTGGACAGAAATCCGACGATGAGCATATAAAAGACATTATTTGTAAAAATTGTATTTCATCAAAATTTTAAATAATTCCAACGTTTAGTCCAGCTATCTTGTCTGGACTTCGTGTATGTAGGCTGAGACACTGTCCACATCACCCAGAGTCACTGCCCCGAAGGTTTACTTTAATCCACAGAGCAACGAGGTACCGCGTTAGGAGATGCAGTCCAATAGTAGCCAGTGACTAACGTTAGGACCGCACGCCATGCGTTCCATCACGATTCTGGAGTGTATGTACACCATTACTTTGGAGTCAGGGTTTTCCAACTCCCTCAGGTGGACCGTTCGTAACCAAGAACCCACTTTAAGTGATTTGGAATAGTTTTTAATCCTCTCAACATCTTATACAATAAAGTTAATGGGAAAATATGAATCAGAAAATAAATGACCGCGACTTTGATTTAGATGTTAGAACGACCATTTTTTAACAGATATGAAATAAAAAAGAGACTAGATGAACGAAATAATTAATCGATTATTTCGCATAAACAATTATAAAAAATGCACTAAAGCTATTTCCTTTCATTAATCAAAAATAAAATCTGATTAATTACAATATGAGATGAATTGTGACTACTACTGATTGGTATTTGAAACTTATGAAGTATTGAAAGTCCAAGGCTCAATTTGAACTCGCCATTTGATATGCTTGAACTATTACGAGTTTACCTTAGTCAGTAAACGAGAGCGAGGATAGACGATCCGGTGATAAGACAGGCTACTCCAATCTGATTGTCCCTAACCCCCATTGATATGAAGTAGAACATGTATTCTACAAGCACCCAGAAAGTACGAGGTCCGTGTCCAGAAGAGAATCAGGATTCTGGACTAGGGATCTGGGTCCGGATCACAAAACGTTACAGATAATGCGTATTTATACAATTAAGTCGAATAGGAAACAGCACAAAAGTCTGTGACATTGACAGTTAAGACGACCAATGGGAAACAATATTGAGGTACATGACATTGATAGGTTAGGACGACCATAATATTGACCAGTAGGAATTGACCAATAGAATTAGACTTACAAAAATAATTCTGTTAGGATATTTGATGAATAGCCTAACACATTCATTCCACCAGTCACAAATAGGATGAGACAAGTATCCCTTGCATGTCAATTTGTAACAAAACACCAACATCAAAACAAACTTTCAAATAATTGGCCTTGAAAGTTCTGATCAACATTGAGTAATCAACATAATCGGCGGATAACATACCAATCTTTACAAAACAATAACTTTTTTTAAAAAAAAAAACAAAATTCAATCCTACTCACTATCTGGTGTACGATAAAATTTCACTGATGAAATTGGTCCATCACCGAATGAATTGATTGCTTTTAAACAAAATGCATAAATTGCATTTGGTAGTAGACTAGTTATCACAGTATTTAAACTATCCGATGGTAAATGTCGTTTTGACCAATGCATTATAGGTAAACTATGATTTAGCGTGAAATAAAGTAGATAACCTGTTAAAAGTCCATTTGGATGCATTGGTGGTTGCCAGCTAATTTGTATACTGACTGATGATGAAGTGGATTCAACGCCGCTACTACTACTACTACTACCACTACTACCACTTAGACCAATTAAAGAAATATCACGTGGTGAATCACTAGGTCCTGGTGAAAAAAGGAGAAAAAAGGAAAATAGAAAAGTGATTGTAGAAAGGGTATCTTGAGGTTAAGTAATCAAAATGAATAACTAATTACAATGTGACTGATGTGAATAAACTCTTGAATATTGAAAGAATTACTGAACTACAGAGAATAAAAACAGTTCTAAATACGAATAATGAATCGTGTTAAAGCTAAGTATAGATAGATAAAGTAAGCAGAAAATTGTGACTTTGTAGTATCCTAGCTAGTTGCTAGCTTTTAAGCTTATTACTCACTCATAAACCTGAGTAACTGACCTTAGCTGACTCAATCGTAGCTGCTAACTTGATGTGCAGGTCAAGATTGACAGTCGTGATGACAACTGAGCTATAATGGCTGGAACATATGTTTCTTCGGATCCTACCCTGTCAGGTAGATAGGTCGGAGAACGGTAAGATTAAAAACAGCAACTTGATATACGAGGATAAAAAATGTACTTCTAACTGTACAGGAAAACGACAGTGGTGAGGTTTTTCGGTCGGGCAAACAACATCTGTAGAGATGCTGCCTTTTCATAATGGAAGGAAGAGTTTAGAAAAGACAGAACCTAAAAATGTTGAATATCACCTAACTCCGTGGATTTCAATATCCGGTAGCTAGGCTTCCTGAAGCGCGCAATCAACACATCAAAAACCTACTGGCACACCGTACATCATAACAGCAAGCAGGTAGGTAGGTAGGCAGGTAATCTCACTTCATAAAATTAGCTCAAACCAATAGTCAATGACTTAATGGATTGACATCGTTTCTTGGTTTAGCCATCACTAAGTTTCTCCTAACGTAGCACCCTATCACAACTAGTACTACACGGTGAGACACGAAGTGGTTGATTGCACACATGCAACACATACAGCTGTAATGTATCGAATTCTATCTTTTAACTGTTACGCTCGTCTCTAGGTATGCTTAAACTATTACGAGTTCACCTTAGTCGAATAACGAGAACAAAACAATGAACCAGCGTCCAGGTAGGCTACTGTGATCCCTTGACCAAAATGAATCAGCAAGAAGTCTTGATATAGTGTAAAAATTGTATTCTACAAACACCCAGCCAGCACACAATGAATCCAAGCACTCAAATTGCGTTTATTTATACTCTATAGAGACGTCCTTGGGACAGTCACAAAAATAGCACACTAAAATGACACAGTAACCAATCACAGCAAAGGATTTTCCTGGTGGGAAATGTGATCTCAAGGTCATCTGATCGGTCCATGAAATAAATCCAAAATAAAGATATTTATCAAGCGAGTTCTAGGGATCTAACATCCCCAACATTAACCTTGATCAAATTGACATTAAGAAGGAAGTACGGTCGAGAGTGGGGAGATTATGCAATTCATCTCCCAACGCTTTCGAATGGCTATGCGTGTATAGCCACTGTCAACGAAATCCTAGTAATCACTACCGTCTCGTGGCATAGATTTTGTTTGCAGAATTAAGAGGACGAAAATTTAGTGTCCAGGCTAGTACGTACGGAGGAGCCAACTAGGAAAATCGGAAAACACTGATTACAAACTAATGGTGCACATCGGCCCCATTATCTTGAAGAAACAAACAGTGTGAACCTATCGTTGGAACAGAATTCCCCAACGTTATTCTACTGCCTTGTGAATCGGACCTTAGGGTTAAAGGCTCGAGGAGTGGCCTCCACTTCAATTTGGACACTCAGACAGTATCCCGAACCGAATTCATGCATAAATACCTTGAAAGATTTCAACTTCATCAATTACAACACACACACACACCCTATATATATATATATATATATATATATATATATATATATATATATATATACAATTAATAAAACTAATTCATATCTTTCATCTTTAAATTGAACAACATTTATTTAGAAATAACACAAATCATAAAATAATACTAACTTTTTTCTGTTGTCTCAATAATTTGCTCTAAACTCCATTCACTATACAAGATATTATTCAATTCTTGTTGTTGATCAAGATTATTATTATTATTAGCACTAATTGAAGTGAATGGTGCATTGGTCAATGATTTCTTTTTTTCACCAACAGCACGAACAACTACAGAATATAATCGACCAAATTGTAAATTTTCTAATTTTGCCCAATTCTCTGTTACACTAATGATATGTTGTGTTTTATCAAGTGAAGGTGATGGTAGATCTTGGTCGATGATGATGATGATGATTTTCATTTTGAAAATAAAACGAAACAAAAAAACAAAAGAAAGCAAATTATTAATCACTGATGAAGATGTGCATAAAGGCGAAATATATGAAATAATATCAAGAAAATCAATGAACTAAATCATTATTTATGAGACGAGGTCAACTTTTCATTACATCGATTCATGATGATGATGATGCAGAAGCGAATACTGAGAAGTGGAGGTGGTAGTGTGGTGCGAGCTACTTATAAGTAGTATATGACGCGAGTGTCAATGTAATGTCTGGCAGCAGAAGATGAGGGAAAATCAAGAAAGGAAGAGTTAGAAAACAATGGAATTTGTATGAAATGCATGAATAAGTGAAATGTCAGACAATGGATCGATGATTGATTGAAGATTTGTAAATTAACCGTTTACGATATGGTTTTCCTATTTTACTGAGTAACTCTGTAATTTTCGTTAAATACAATTCGGTTGCCCCCACCTGTGTTCTCCTTCACTACAGTAGTTGTTACAAGGCAGAGCTAGTGTTTTTTTATGAACATTAGGCAAGCTACTCTCCTATACCAGATAGTGCCGGTCAAAGTAGACTATGATTGAATATACGAAAAACCTGTTTGGTTAGCGCAAATCATTTGTAAAAATACGTGTACAGGAACTTGCTTTCAATAATTGTGAAGAAAGACAAAATATCTTGAAAATACAATTATATCAATATTTTGAAAAAAATACCAGTTCACATTCGATTACTGTCATTCAACTTTAAGCCATTAAGTTGCAAGCGTATATCGCATTTCCCCCTACTTCGATTTGAACAATCAGGTTAGAATAACTGACCTTGGTGTTGAGAGTATAGATTAAAGCTAAGTACTAAATTAATCAATCAATTTATTCATTATGTGCCTGTGTATAAACCACATACAAACTGTAAGGTCAGTTAATGAACTACAACGTATTACTTCATACGTACACACATCATTTAAAGTTGCCATAACATATTAGCGCACAGGTGCTAACCCCTTAGTAGTAGAGACAGTAGAAGCATTAGCGATAATGAAAAGAAGATTTGAGATCAAAGATATTATCCAAGTATGATCCAGTGAAATTACTTTTTTAAAAAAAAGATAAAGGTGATGAAGAATTGATAAGATTAAAATTTGAGAGAACACAAAGAATCAATACATCTGCACCATTACAAACGATTTTGAGCCATGTCATTCAAGGTCTCTAACCATCGGTTTTCATCATCTCGCGGACACCACAATCAGGTAGTCTACATCTACCAACATTGCCTAGTCCACTTGTCAGTGGCTTCATGGATCCCTGCCATGTTTTGTTTTGGCCACCCCTAGCCTTATTCGAACCTACTCCCACACCACAAAACATCGTTCGTCGAGGCTATCGATGGTTAGGTATACGTCCCAACCACCAGAACTGACAAGGTTTCACTACTTCTTCTATTGACCTACCATCCTTATGTAATACCCTTTACCTAACACCAGCATTGCTTCCTCGATTGCCCCAGGATAACGCGCAATGCTTCGAAGACGCTGATGATGATCGAAAACTCAGGGAGATGGATAATATTTCAGTAGGAATGAATTGTGATTACCTATTGGCGCTTGAAATGGATGTGTGTGTGTGTGGGTAGCTTAATAATAATAGGTGGTGGATAAAGCGATAACTAAGTCTACATTATTTTTATTATGCAGTAAGTAGAGATTATTGAGTTTCATTGAAAATCATGAGTCGATTATACATATATATATAAACATGTACTCACTTGCAGCAACCATCTTATTCTTATCTTCATCATTACCATCTTCAATATTATTGATTCTAGTTTTAGTTCGATTCGATGAAGAATAGCCAATTAATTGATAAGCAACTTGATAAAATTTAATAACATAATTATTATTATTATTATCATTATCAGAGCAATCATTCACAGTGGATGTTTTCAATTGATTTGATTGATTTTTCATTCGTTTGCTTTTACTGTCATCATGATTATAATGTTGAGTACATTGTGTTTTATCCCATGTTATAATGGCCCAATTCGAGTCCGATGAAGAAACATGTAAATTCAAAGGGATCGGTAGATGTTCACTAGCTGTTTTCATTGTAACAACAAATAAAATGAAATTTAAGAAAATAAAAAATCAATGATCAATATTGGGAATAACTAAAATGTAATGTAATGTTAGTAGCTTCAATGTCTATCTATGTACAGACTGGATAAAGTGTATACAAACATGTTCTGATTTCTAACGATCACGCAGAATATCAGCACACACAAAAAAGTAAATATATGAACAAGTTTGGAGGTTCGAGGTTCAATCTCATGAATATAGTACACTGGTAAGGAGTTTCATACTAAAATGAAATAGCTGTCTACTGCTTCTAATCATAAATAAAGTTG